GAGTTCAAAATAGCAACAATTTATGCGGAGCACAACAAAAGTTCTTTTTGCGAGAAAACGCAAAGTGCAATTAGGTCAAGAATAACTTCCGTTTTAGTTAAAATACTACAAGTCTCCATGGAGATTGGTGATGTGACGTCAAACATCACGTGTGCAACAGGTTACTTGTATTGTTTTCAAGCTTTCTTGGCATTTCCTTTCAGGAAGCTCTCAGGAAGCAGACGAAATTTGCAATAAAACAGAGATGTCTGGTTATATTAAAACATGCAATAGACTAAACTGAATATTACAACCTGTTAATTACTTGTTACTGAACGGCAATGATGTCATCAAGTCAGCTTAGATTTTAAAGTTTGCGCTTTATGAGGCGATAGTGTAATGCGCGCGGAACGAATCGCTAAAAGAGTGGTCGACTTAAAACCTTAATTCCCGTTGTGATGGACAAAATGAAAGCTCATTTCCGGTGAAACTCGACAAGCGGGAGATACACAGATTGAAACATCACTAACAACGATGAATTCATTAGCCGATTGAAAATAAGAAGAAGCGTTTTAATTACTCCTAGCAAAGATTTGCGTTGGTATTTAAAGCGAGCCGTTCTGTGGCTTTAAAGAACGGTTATCTATCCTAGGAATCTTTACTTTGCCGACGTTAAAATCTGTCATTCACCCTCTCGGATAATAATTGTCTCCTTCTTGGGTCTCCAATCTGTTCGATAACCCAATTTCACTGGTGCTGGCCTCCAAGTACCGTCTGATTCAGAAACAGGTAATTGATAGAGATCAAATAAAACAACTTAGACCAATGTGTATGTGGGCAACTTTGTAGTGCATCATAATTTGTTCTAATCAATTACCAGCTATTTGTCCTTTCGTTTATATTCAGAGCAAACAGCACCATCACAAACATTACCGATCTTAATAATTAAATACCTTTTTTTAATAGTCAAGTCTCTAATGGTTTTCCAACCGCACTGTCGCACTTTTTTAATTGATAAGGAGACGTTTAAAGGGTTTCTTATCAAAATTAGGCGTTTCGCACGATTTATTTTGACGCGAAGTTTACCCACTTGTAAGAAAATGGCTCTGTGACCCACAAGGGGCGGGAATATTTTAACCTGGTGCTCTACGCCAAATAAACTTGAAAGCAATGAGGCGAAAGATCCGTTGGTTTTTTCTCTGACTGATATCTAGGGATAACCTGAATTCAGGCGCAGGTAGTAAGCAAGTGTAATCTATAGTCTTATTGGACGGGCGCGTTTCACTGGGGGTGTTACCGTGCTCGTTACACAGAGATCAGCGAATATAAACTGTAGTAACTCACCTGTAGTCACTGGATCTACCCTGACTCAAGGCAAAGGTCCTTTGCTCATTGAAGACCACGTGGTCGGCTACGGCTTTAATAGAGCTACACAAGCGTGATAAAGAAACGTAAAGAAAGCCAGGGCCTTTAACGTTGAATGTTCGCCATGGCTCAGCGGCGCGGCGCAGATTGTATGTTTTGAGCAACATCAAATGAGCATCGACATCATTTCCTGTTTGGTTGTTCGCGTGACTCCCGGGGGACATACGAAGCTCGGAATATCTGTGAAAGCCAATGAAATGCGCTGGCAACTCAACTTGAGCCTTTTCAGGGTGATTTTTATTTTTCTGGTTCAAATTAAACTTGAGAAGCTTTGTGTTGTTGTTGTGAGGTGTAATAGCGCTACAGGATTAACCAAAGTACACGAGGCAGCGCATTTTTGATACTCGTAAGTTGATTACCTTCGAACCCATCAAAGAAATAAAACCAAGCTTAACCCGTGGAGGCATCTGCCATGCCAGATGTTTCTCTGTACATGCAGCATCTTACATACCGTGCGTCACTGATTTGTCAACAAACGCTGTTTTAACTTTGCGGAACTAACGTAAGGTCTTGATGTTCCAAGAAATACCGAAGCCAATAGGAGGATTCCCAACCACAATACTGACCGAGTGGAAAGACTGCCGAAGGCTTTCAAGGAAGAAATAATTGATTTGGCTCAATTTGGAGGATAAGTAGCTTGATAAGGTAGAATCAAATGCTGTCATTTAGTCATTCTTATAACTTAACATCTGACATTTGACATCCAGCACTTTTCAATAGTTTCGTCTCAGTATTATTTGGTCAATTTCTGTTATAAAGTCAAGCTACATTTTTAAATATATGGCAAGTTGCGTGTTCCAACTTTCTGGCTAAGATAATACTAACTTCTATTCAAACTGCTCATTTTATTACTGAAACAAAGTTTTTTGACAGAAAAAAGTAGGGTTGCCCTGTGTGGAATATGGACACATGAAACACTCCTCAGTCTTTATAACTTCACCCTTCGTCACGAATTGTCGAAACTACGCTAAATGTTTCGATAAAATATTAACTGTTAATTATCTAAAATGCTGAGTAAATAAAATGTCATTTTTTTCCTTTCAACAGATTACGAGCAGTCCTAAACTGTAAGCTTAGTCCATCGCGTGAGACAAACATAATCAGCAGAAAAAAATTTATAATGATGAGATGAGCCATGGAAAATGTTTTTTCTTTTTAAACGCCGTTTACATTTCACTCACGCCATGGACTAAGCTAAGAAAACTAGGAAGGTGTAAGATTATCTTTTCAGTCAATGGTTTGATTTGTTTGTCTACAGTCCAGCGTCCTGTTTCATTTGATTTGATTTCACTTCGCCTATCATAATCCAACAATAATCAGGCTGGTTAGTGTGGATAACAATGATTTTGAGAAAATTGCCAGTTGATCGTTAGGGAATGAGTATAAACGTAGCGTAGTAATATAATTTGAGTTGCGTGTGACCGTGTTGGAGTCCTGTCATGCTCAGGAAATCATTTTTATGGGAACAAATAATCCGTCCGCCATTACTTCACGCATCAGTCACGCGACACTCTTAGGAGAGGGGGGAAGCAGTATTTTACAGTAGGAGGGTCATATACTGGCGTCCTATTGACATTCCACTGCAAGA